GTAAGCATCCATCCATCCAGACGTCCATTCCTTTGTCCATCCATTTTCTTTTGGGGATCTGTGGCAGCAGGTTATTCTTTAAGCTAGCAAAGTTTTCCAGTTACTATATAATCTCTGAGCGTACCCTTTTTGCCTATGTCCCCAAAAACCTCTAAAGGACATCCTGATCAGATGCCAAAACCGATTGGCTGGCTCCTCCGAAGGAGCAGCAGCTCAGCTCACCAGATGTTTGCACTTCTTGCTTTGTCCCTAACAGTCAGTCTGGGACCCTCCCTGATGTTTCAGTCACTTTCTTTTTTTGGTTGCTATCCTCTCCTCACCCCAACTGGTCGTAGCAGATAGCTGCCCCTCTGAGCCTGGTTCTACCGGAGGTTCCTTCCTGTTATAAGCGAGTTTTTCCTTCCCACCAAGTGCTTGCTCAGAGGGGGTCGTCTGATTGTTGGGGTTTTTCTCTATGTTGCTTTGAGGTGGCTGTGATGTGGAGCTGCATAAATTAAACTGAATTGACTGCTCGTGACCACAGGTGAGGGTTAGATTATAGATTGACCATTACGACGAAAGATTGTTTTTCTTTGATTATGACCATAATATTTAAAAATAAACGCTGACATTCCATGAAAATCATGCAGGTGAAAAACACCAGTACAGTTTTGGTTAGATCAAACACGTATTAAACACGGGTGCTCCCATTGGCTTTAGGTCAATCCAATCCAACCCACTGGCACAGTCGAAAGAATTCAACAGTTCCTGAATGCAAATGTTTCTGCATAGATTTTTCAGTGATATTAGGGTCGTTATGGTAATCCCAAGTAGGGCGCCACATCCAACTATTGGCAAATAACCCAGAGAACAAAAGCAAACAGCAAAACAAAATAATAAACAGACAGTAAAAACTCAAATGTCTGTTTCCTGTAGAGCTCAACCTTTGACTGCTGCAACACCATGCCTGGGATTACTGTAATGACCCGAATTTCACCATTGGAATTCTTTCAATTGACCAAATGGTTCAGGAGTTACGGGTTAGATTTCAGAGGATTCAAATCTGATAACTGTGAGTTTCACCTGCTGGTTTTTGTTGTTTGCCATCATTTTCACAAGATCAGCAAACTTTAGCCACCAGACGCTGCTGGTGCAATTTCCTCCAGAGCAGCCATCAAAATTCTCCAGAAGACGCCAACAGAACAAACACAATCCAAGGGACCAGTTCAAGGACTCCAGTTAGCTGAGGCGAAGTCTAGCAGACAGCTAGCAGCAAAGAGTCTGTGACAGCTCTATCAAACAGTGAGGATAAGCCAGTAATAACCCATGTTTCTATCCAGAATTAGGTTTTTATGCCACTTCTCTCACACCAAGCACAGCTTCCATCTGGGAAACAAAACACAACAATGACAGTGCTCAACGTCCACCAAACACATCACGTCGTGGGCAACAATGAAGTGAAATATCACTAATAAAACAAAGATCTGTGAAAACCAAACATGCACCAAAAAGTTGCTGTTGAGAAGCATAAAATATTAGAAACTATAACACAAGAATGTCCTAAACAAGCATAGCTCCGATTTCAAAAGGAAGAAAAAAGACGTTTGTGAGGTACAAATGTCACGTTGTTTTAAAACGAGGCTGCAATGACGACAGCAGCCTGCAGGGGCAGCGTTCAGGGTTTGATCCTCGTGACCTCGTCTCTGTGCAGGTAGCTGCCAGCTGATCGTGGAGCCTCAGTGTCACATGTTGCCCTACAATCAGACGTGGCTGTCCTCCTCCGTCGCCGTGGTGAAGAGCTCAGAGGTCGACATGTTGCTAAGGTAACAGCTACTTCCACTAAAAGTCATTGAATTGTCTACAGACGGCTATTTCATACTGAAAAGAAGACGACACAATTAATCATGTCAGGGTTTACACTTAAATGATCCAAACGATTCATCGACGAGTAGACGAGTGTTAGCTGAACGCCAGCGTGTGTGTTGCAGGTTCTTCAGCTACCTCAGCAGACTCTCATGCTACAGACACATCATGCTCTTCGGCTGCTCGCTGGCTCTGCCCGAGTGCATCGCAGCTGACGGCACACACAACAGGTAACGCACACACAAACCTACAGTCAGCTGTTTCCATACGCAGACCTCACTTGGCCTATTTCACAGCCTCTCCAGTTTCCATGTAAGCAGCTCGTCGCTGTGGAGGTCGTCCGTGTCGACCTTTCTGGACTTGACCTGGGATTGAAGATTGATTGAAGAGTCTGATGTGAGCTGGAGGGCCGCTCCGACCAGACGACAAACATAAAACACTTAAAAAATATAGAAACTGTTTATATTAAGAGAAAGGTGGTGAGAAAAAGTCCTGCTGCGCTGTGCAAGCTGTTTATTTGCCGTCTGCTTCTTCTCCACAACACGTCCACCTATTTTAATCTGTCCAGAACTGAAGCTGATGTTTGCTCCTTTACTTGTCCTTATATTATCTGTAAGCTTCTTTGCTGTGACTAGAAAAGCCTGAACCCTGAGTGGACCTTTGAGAAGATTGAAATATGGTCTTATCTGTTTCTCAGATATCACAGTCGTCTCTGGACACTCATAAAACTCGTAATTAGACAATTAGAGCTCAGTGTTAGGTTGCTGTTTGATCGCAGTGTCAAATGTTCTCATCAGCAACACTATCCAGCTGCTCTGCTGCTCGGGGCGAGGGGAGGTCCCAGGGCATTAATAAAGTCAGCGCGCTGCACGCTCAAACAGGTGGTGCCCTTATTATGTCTCAGTTTCAGCCTTTAGCACAGTGCCAGAGGCTGCAGGTGCGAACTCGGTCCAGAGTGAAACAGCGTTTCTTCTTCCCTGTCCTCCTTCCCTAGCATCATGCTTTGTTCAAACAGCATGTTGGATTAGTTTCAGGAGGAAGCTACTGATATCAAAGACACAGAATAAAGTGTATCTCTCCAAAGCTGTTAGGTGACCATCAGGAATGTTGGAGGTACCAAAACGCTCAGGTCTTCTTTAAAAGCCTGCCTCACAGTGCCGAGCAGCTTCTCTCAGTTTACCTAAACCTTGAATCTCTAATGCGAATGTTGTGTTTCAGTTCCAGCACGTTCAGCAAAGACTGAACTTCCTCAGCTATAAAACACAAACAAGAACATCAGCTGTTCACACAGTAAGTGGGACAGCAGCTGTATGTGTGTATACGGCTAATAATAACACCCTCCAAACTCAGAGGACACACACACACCTTCAGTGTCAGTGGTTTCCACTCCAGACGACCTCTGACTGGAGGATTATGGGACTTTTTTAATGATGCTCCCTGACGTCCGTGTGTGTGTGTGCAGGACGGTCGTGTTGCCCTGCGCGTCGTTCTGCGAGGCGGCGAGAGAAGGCTGCGAGCCAGTCCTACAGATGTTCAACGCCTCCTGGCCTGACTTCCTGCGCTGCTCCCAGTTCAGCAACACCACCTCTGCTTTGTCACCACCGTCACCACCGTCACTACCATCATCACCATCATCACCTTCGCCAACAGGTCTCCTCACGTCACCTGCCTGCTACACACCGCGGCAGATTAAAGGGAAACCCTGTGAGTACAAACCACACGTAAAATTCTTCACACACCAAAACTGGAGCTCAGACCTCAGGGACCGCCAGTTGGAAAAATGAGCCAATCAGCTAACGTATTAGCTCAGATAATTTCATTAAAACATTCTAACGGCTCCAAACTCAATCCAGAGTCCAGGTCAGGATCTCCAGTTAGCAGCTATCATCCACCTGACCCCTAATAGTACAAACTTTAAGCCTTAAACTTCTTAAAGGTGAATGAAATCTACAGAGACCAGTTTTTGAACTATTTTTGTAACAAGTAGTAAACATGTTAATTTCTCCTGTAAAGTTTTAAAATGGGAGTTTGTGGAAATGGACTTGGACAAGAATATGATTTGAATCTGAATAAAAGGTAGAGGACCCATGATAGAGCCTTGTGGAACTCCACAACCTGAAACCAGTCTGTGACGCCCTGTTCTCACAGTTAATCTGCTGCTTACTGCACTGAGTAAAAATAATTTGGGTTCGAACGTTTTCAGGTGAGATCTTGGAGTCACCAGTAAATACAGTTTCCATTTACGCTAGCCGTTACGATGTAGCCAAAGTCTTTTTTCCACAAAGTCTCATGTATTCAAACTTGTACAACTTCCCCGTCTGTATATCTGTGAAACTCCGAGCTTCTGATGATGATACTGAGACATTAAAACTGCAGTAAAAACCAACACAGTCACACATTCGTGTCTTCAAACCAGCTTCAAACCACATCTTACAAAAACTGAGAGGTACACAACCTGAAGACATGGGGGTTAGCAAAAAGTGGACACGATGTCAGTTTTCACATCAACGTTGTTCACGAGGCAGTGCGAGTATAGAATGACCCTTAAGTTATAGTTCTGGTCGTGACTGGAAACAGTTTCTCTATCGGCCAAGTGGACATTAGAGGGACTGCAACTTTTTATACGTCATAAATATTGTTGTTGTACATCACTGCTGTACTCTCTCTCTGATTGGTTGGCAGCCGTATGTGGCGGGAAAGATCATTACTTGTGTGCGACTGGGATTTGCATCCCTCAGAAACTGGTGTGCAACGGCTACAACGACTGTGATGACTGGAGCGACGAAACACACTGTGGTGAGCACACACACACACACACACACACACACACACACACACACA